GCAGATATTTGTTTCAGTATTGTTACATACACATTTGCAAGGACAAATATATATGACTGATCAGGGCTAGGGGTGTGCATGAAGCCCAAATGCCCGCAAAGCCCGCCCGAGCCCGAAGAAAAATTGCCCAGCCCAGCCCGAAAAAAAAGAGCCCGAAAAAGAATGGGCATCTTTGAGCTGGGCATTTCATGGGCAGGGTTGGGCATCGGGCAGGACATGCTGCCCTGCCCATTTGGCCCTGCCCAGATTATATATATTATAATTTATAAAATAATATTAATATATTACATTTCTTTACCTAAAAAAAAAGTTATCTCCCTCCTTTTTGCAATTTAACTTATTATTATTACATGTCTATTAGTTTTCTATTTTAAGGGATCTAATTCTTCTAAAGAAGCAGTAGTATCTTGCTTTTAACTTGTTATTCGTGAGTTTTATTGTGTATATCCTATTGTTTGTTGCTGTTGTAGTGTTGGCTATTTATAAGTCAATCTTCCCCTTTATGTCATTAACAACTTTCTTTGTTAGAGAATGGAGTTCATACATTACATATTTGTATAAATAAACAATTTTGAATATTTATGCAAGATAGAAAACAAGATTGGGGTAGGAGCATGAAAAGAAAATTGGGGTTTAATTATCTGAATTACATGTTTTCTATTTGATTTATATTTAGTTATTTTGTATTAATTTTTTATGAACAAGTCATATGATAGAAAGAAGTCTTTTAGTTGTATGGACTGCTAACTGCATTGTATCACATAATAAGTATTTACATATTAAAAGTCGTTATATTAAATTATTATGAGATTATTTTTATTTTTCTTTTTACAATTATTTTCACCTCATTTTTATATGGTCTATGTTATTCCTATTAGCCCATTACTTCAGTTTTAATATCTTTTTACAATCTTTTAGGTAACATTTAATTTTTGCCACTTAAATGGATAATTAAGTTTCTATTACATCGCCATCCCTGGCTCCTAATGGAATATCTCAATGTGCTTCAACCCCTCTTCAATTTTTTCAGATGTTTTATTCTTTTCTCAACTTTCTAGAGATTAATGCAAACCGTTTGAATTTCAAGACTTTAATTACAATCTTGAGAGTTGTTTTGTTCTAAATAGATTATGAATATTATTTATTTGGATATTTGCTAAGACTTGTTTTGAATTATTTTTGGATAATTTTAATGTGTGAAAATATAAAATTATGAAATGTAATTTTTAGGTATGGATGAAAGTTTTTTTTACATGTGATATCGGTAGGTCATCATCATTTGGGCAGCAAAGCCCGCCCTGCCCAGCCCGCCCATGCCCAGCCCAAAATGGTTAGGGCTTCTATGGGCAGGGCCGGGCAGCGGGCTGCAAAATGCAGCCCGTTCATGTTTCGGGCTGGGCATCGGGCAGGGGTTCTGCCCTGCCCAGCCCAGCCCATGTGCACCCCTAATCAGGGCTTCCGCAAGCCAGCTGTGATTTGCTTGATAATCTCGCCCTATTAAAGCAATATTTTTATCAGAACGAGCCATTATGCTAAAAGTTAATTTTGAATTAAAGCATGCATGGTTTTCATTTCTCCAGTTCAACGGAGAGCAGATGCTAATTAATCAAGCTGGACCTAATTAAAGAACAGAGTTTGCAGTACAGACTAAAATCCTTCAGCCCGTCGTTGACTCCTCCCTCCCTGGTCTTTCTTTTCCCAACGTCTTACTCCTTCGATTGTTTTTTAACAAAACAGATCAAGTAGCGGTTGAAATGTTAGATGATAAAAGAAGATGATGAAAATAGGAGGTGGGGGGCCTGGGAAGAAGGGTTGTACTTATTTAGCGGTCAAATTCATTCCCAGAAGTGGAAAGAACAAAACAGAAAAGGCGATGACAGCTGTGGGATATGTGGGCCTCTCGTAGTAAGGAAGGGGTGTATCGTGAGACGCCCACAGCGGCCTAAATTGAATTGTATCGCAATATAATCTAATATAATGAAGAAAATAAATCCTTATAATGGCATCTGACAATTCTACCTAACTGTGCCTTTGAAGGGTGTACAAATTTCCCAAAGGTGGGAGTTCAATTCCGAGTAGTCTCTGATGGAGAAAAACAAGTGCTGTTCTGGGCCTACATACGCTTGTTTTGAGAGCTTGAACCAGTAAAATCAAGCAGTGAGTGGAATTAATTACTAGTGCAAGAGAGTGTTGTGTTAAGTGGGTATTAGTTCGTGTAATGTCACTATAAGAACTGGCCATTCTGTTTGCTGTGCTTCCTTCTTGCTCTTAACCTCCCACCACTCTGATGTTTCTGCCTTGACCGCCTCAATTATTATGCCCCCTCCATCACCACCCTTCCTTGAGCTTTCTTGATCACTTATTTGGGTTACGCAGGGCAAAGAGACTGTTGCGGCTGAAGCCCACTCCGGCCTCAGTGGTTGGGCCTTCTATTTGCCTGGCAAGCCTGCAATTAGCCTGTGTTGTGAACAAAGTCCAAATAGATGAATCTATTCTGAAACTAGACGAGCCGTTTCAAGGATCGGCGAAACAAGCACGTTCCGCCTCTGGGAATCGGGTTGATAAAATATTTTATCAACGAATTTTATTTCCTTTGTGGGTGTAAACTGATTCTTTGGGCCAACAAGTGCTATTCTGCGGCCATATGGTAAGATGTGCGAACAGAGCGGGCCTATCCGCACGGAAACACATATATGGCAACAATTAATCCGTGCTTTAATCTCGACACTAGTGTGTGCCATAAATTAATTATTCCCCCGCAATCTTCTTTTGAAATGCAAAGCTTGCTGCACCAGTTGAGTGAATTGAACAATTACAGGCTGGAAATGAAGGGGAAAGGCAAAAATAAAAGTATAGGTGAATTTCATCTTTTTGCTGAATGAAAATTACATCGCAGGGATATACTTATACAGTACCTTCTTCGGTCCTAATTATAAGACCCCGTTTATAGATTATAAATGAGATGTTAGGATAGGAGATAGTAAATAATACTTGCTATTTTGATTTTTGAGCGCCAGAAAATGATTGGACTGCTCTGTAGCAAAGTGCACCCCAAAATAGGAAACCCAACCCGGTAATACTGAGGCAGGGGCAGTTTAGAATTTTAAGGCAGGACCCAAAGCAAAGCCCACTGACCCTGAGGGCTGGACTTTCTGCCGGTGTCCAACATTACGCTGGAGGGAAGTGAACATGTTTGAAAAGATAATAGTGAAGGGAGAAAGGCACATGGGGGTGATAATGATTAGGGTGGCAGATTTGTTGATTAAAAGAAAGAAAGATATTTGTTTCTGAGGGAAGTGGGAAGAGGGGGCATGTGCCCACATGCCTCACCGGGACTCCGTTATCTCATGACATGTGCCCCCTTGCTCACTTTAATCTTTACACACACACAACAATAAAAATAATAATTTGTCTCTAATTTTCTGCATTTTTTTTATTTTTAGCCGGTCCATTATTATTCTGTAACCGCATTAATAATCAACTCGCTCATTCTGTTACCCAAAAAAAAAAACTCGCCCATTCCATCTCCATAAATAAATATATATTAAAGAAATAAGTCTCATTTAGATCTATATATCTGTTATTTCTAACCAATTTTAATTAATTTCTAAAGTGTACTGTCCAATTGATTATTTTATTTGAATGTTGGCAGTATGACATTTTTATCCCCACTTGTTGTCGGGCTTCTTTATGATCATGATGCACATACCATATTCGAGACCCGAGGGTGATATATATATATATATATATATATATAAAAGCATATTCAGTGGCACAAAATGCATTAATTGGAGGATGAGATCCATATACTCATTTCCATGTCAGGTTTTGCATCGTAAACTTCACATGCTCCCACATGCTCTTCCAATCCCCCAAACCCTCCCTCCGCTGCCTTCCCTTATATCCAAATCCACTCAGCTAATCACACATCTAACCCATCTTCGCTACTTATAATACTGTTAATGACCCTCCCTTTCGTCCTTTTCAGTTCCCCCTTTTCTCTTTCCATGAACGCGCATACTCACTTTTACATCTACGCGATGCAGCGTACCTCATCCATGCAGTTTCCGCCCCACACACACTCCGACTGCTTTTTATAAGCTTCCATGTCCCGTTCACTTTTTCAAAACCCGGTTATCTTGCAGAATACATATATGCCCACAACTTCCTTATCATCACTGACTATTCTTTCTTTTTTAATGAAGACTGAATAACACTACTCCACAAGTAATCACAACCGAAAACAGAGACAAACATTAAAACTGATTGTTCTTTCTAGATCCACCCCCTCCCCCCAATAATGTACACCATTTAAGTGACTCGTTTGAAACTCATCCTCACCATAAATACAACATTTGAATAAAATATTCCATGCCGCCTGTATAGCCATCGAAATTAAATTCAACACATGGTTTCCAGCACCATATATTAATCTTTCCATGCAGCAGAACGACTGTATCCGGGCAAAAAATTATCACTATGTATTTCCCATTTCTAGAAAGCAGTATTAGGACAAGAAACTAAACAAAACAATGCAGAAGAACTCGCCATAATTAATTTGTTTTCCCCTACTGGGGTTTATTTGGGGCCCACTCTCCGCTTGTAGTTTAAAGCGCGGCAAATTGCTAGCATGTGCAGTCTGCATTCCCAGTTCATTAGCTTCTCCACTGGGCCACACCGCCACACTAAGTGGCCTGTCATTTATAATTAGAATACTATTCAGTCATAAATGAATGGTTCGAGCCCAACCAATATTATTCCTACCCTTATTTTCTTATTCAAATCCCCACCCACAATACGGGCGTACGAATCTCAACCTCAGCCTTGCTGCCACACCTTTGAATCTGGGCCCATACACGTGTCATGTTCTAACTTGTGGCGACGCATGCTAACTCTGTGAATGCATGCACCTGATTAATTCTGCGGCTGAATCCCACCGCTCAAAGTTCCTATATATACCCCCACACTCTGGGTTCAGAGATCCCACCAGCCCCGTCCTCCCCTTGCTTTATATACGCGGTTTGCTGAATCGGGAGGATTCTTCAAGAACGGCCATGGCTAAGTTCCTCGCTGCTTTGATCTTAGCTCTCATTGCCATTTCCATGCTTCAGACTCTGGTAAATCTCACATTTTCAAGGCACTTTATGTTGCGAAGCCCCCCCCCCTTTTTCTCACATTGTAGTATCCCTCATCTTTTTGCAGGTCATGGCAGCTCATGGGCAAGGAGGCAACTTCTATGATAACAAGGTAACCCGGCCTGATCTTGTCTTTTTGGTTTTTTCTGTCGGCTTTGGTGTGAAGAATCATTTTGTGTTTTCTAATGTTCTTGTGCTGCTTAACTGTGGGTTTCCAGGGACGAAGCCCGTATGGACCCGGCAGTCTCAAGAGCTACCGTAAGTAAAGTTCACTCCTGTTTTTTGCTTCGCTTCATTTTCTCTGCCGTGACTGTGAGCAGCCTTTCTAATCCATGGAAGGTGAAAAGGAACAATTTTTTAATTTTTTGCACTCAAATCCACCAAGTAGTTGCGGGGTAGTTTTCTGTTTCTTTGAAAAGAATCAAATATTTAGAAGGACGTTTTTATCCTCGATTATCGGTCAAATTTACTTGGACTGTAGTCAAAGTTGGGCTTGTGAAAAGCTGCAGTGTTTGACCAGAGTGCATAAAAAGAGGTGAAGGCGGACGAAAACTAACTAAAGTTTGTGTGATATGACCAGAATGCCCGTCGCAATGCAATAGGAGGTGCGGCCAGACTCAGTACAGGAAGCCATGCATGTTCTTCTGTCAGAAGTGCTGCAGGAAGTGCCTGTGCGTGCCCCCGGGGTATTATGGGAACAAAGCCGTGTGCCCTTGCTACAACAACTGGAAGACCAAGGAAGGAGGACCCAAGTGCCCTTAGGCCATAGTTCTACGATTTCACCCACCTCAAATATCCTTCCGCTTGTGTTGTGTCCCTTGCTTGTCACCCGTTATGACAATAGCTTACTACCACAACCACCAACATATTTCTTTCACATTCTCACATGGTTTGCTCTTTTTGCTCTCTTAAATGTTTTGTTGTGCTCGAGGATGTCTCCTGTTTTAGTCAACCTAATCATAGACTCCTCTGTTATGTTGTCACTCCATAAGGCTTCGCCTTCGATGAGAGTGGCCCAGTCCTATCACTATTATCTATGAAACTGCTGATGATATTTTATATATTTCCACTCGCTTTGTTTCCGGCAAATTATAGTTTGTTGTAAGCCCATAACATCTAAGAATCAGAGCAATGGCCTTTTTAGATGCACTACAAGACAGTGTCGAGCTTGAATTAACAAATGGAATTGGGCATAATCAACTGCAAATGAATAAACTTAACAAGGGGAAATAAACTAATCAGAGGAACCCGGATGTTCTAAAAGCCAACAAATGAAACTCATTGCAACGCTTCTGCGTGCTTAGATGTTCCGGCCTCGCTAGTTAAAAGAATGAGAGGGGAAATAGTCAAACAACTTAACGAATGTAAGGATTCACGAATTTTTCAATTTACTCTATTCTTCCCTCTGGTTAATGCTCATATTTAATATTAACATATACTTCATAAAAGTATTATTGAATCAATGTTCTACAGATCCAGGAAAAAAGTAGAAAGGGGGAAACAGAAAGAAATGGATAAAAATTGACTTGGATAACTTTAGCAGAGAAAGTGTCAAGATATTATTATCCCTCTTTTATAATTGGTCGACCCTACACCAGGAGGGTTCAAATGCTTGAGATTTATGCTGCTGCTTCTGTTCATGAAAAACACGGGATTTGGTAGAGCATGCTTGCGCACTCTGGGGCCCATCTGAGATGAAAAGGAGCGACAAAACGATTAAATTTACAACACTTTTGGGCTGGGCCAATATTTGGCATTCGTATTATGACTAGGCCCAGTGACTGAGCCGAATGTTAGATCGAAACCCTGAGGTTTCCGCTTTACAACCTCCGCTCAGTTCCTATGTCGTATAATACTTACTGCGCAAGATTATCGTATCAAACGCCTTTTATTTGATGCGACCAAACAACAACTAGATTTTAATTACTTCAACTACCACAGCACGAAGAAGTACTTACATCTCCATATTTATCTACAACCAAACGTACTGATTCCATAGTTACTGTTAATTAACGAACACAATTAAAAGCGGATATGAACATCTACACACACACATACGGCCATTTGTATACGTATATGTCCCGACCATAAGTTAGTGCGCTTTAGCTTCAGGTTCTCTGCATTACTCTTAAGGATGATTTCTGATCTGCAACTCGTCCCCAGATCCTGATTTTGTTGCAGAATCAGACCCTTCCCTGGAGCACAAGTCACTATGATCGGTTCCTTTCTCGGAAGTATCTCCACAGTCTAAATAAACACAAAATCGTAATAAAAGTTATCCATTGAAAAGAATCATGTAGCAGCTAGGAATTCTCGCACAACCGTCCGCGAAAAGCAATTTACCCGCACTCGTAAATCAAGGACAATACGTAGAACGGAGGCAGTGAAAGCAGCAGACCCTGCGATGCCAATGTTTCAATATTGAATGCCGACAGGTAAAACGTAAATAACTAAATAGATAAAACAATGGAATTGTCTGTCATCCACACTCACAAACATGAAGTAATTGAACATTTTGTCCTGCTGCTGAGGTGGCCTGTAGTAATAAACGTCCCTCAGAATCATCACGATAAAAATCTGCAAGAGCAATTCATTACTAAATTAAAAACCATTTTTTTGTAAAAAAGTCTTCTTAACATGAGGAAAGAGTACAAGTAAGTATGATATAAAGTTGATTAATTTTTACCATTTTAAATAACATGAACATATAATACAAAGAACGATGATGCTTATCCATGTTGTAGGCCCAGAATGAAGAGTTGTTGCTGTGGACGCGTTAATATCAAAGACTAAAAGTGGTGATGAGCATGAAGGCTTACGATGAGGACGCCGGTTCCGCACAAAACACCTCCAGTGGGATGTCTGAAGTCACAGTCTTCATTCAGAGCTGCCGCCATGCGATCAGTCGCCATTTCCGCCAGCGTTAGCGGGGAATAAATCTGTGCATTAGTGCTCGGAATTCTCCACCCTTCCCTGCAATATTAACAATTCCAACTCAGCAAGTAATTAAAATGTGCCGGCGCAACAACGCATGAGAGATCTGTAATGATGTTAAAGACATGTAAAGCTGTAACTGACCTCTCATCATCCTCGTCGTTATTGGAAGAGCTCCGATGCGTCACAGCATAACCTGGACCGTAGGGCTGCATATCCGATCCAAATCATGATAGGATGGATCAGGATTTTAACATGATTAACACACGTAGCTGCTATATATGCACAGAGGTTGGTGAACGTGTGTGTAGTAGTTGGATTAATTCTCTTGTAGGACGATGGTGTCCTTGCCCATGAGAGATATAATCCGGTCCAGTCCTTACCTGGCGGCAGATCTCACAAATGGTGTCCCCTTTGATATTGCACCATTTCTGGATGCAACTCCTGTGAGCATACTAGGGCATGTGATGAAGAGGACAAAGTGTAAGAAGTTTATTGTTGTACATATCTCTGTCGTAGATATAAAGTCAAACTACGTTTATGGTTTAACAATAACTGCTCAGTGAAAAAAATACCAAGATCATACAGTAAACTTAGCATATTAGTTTTGCGTTCAAAAAATATTCAATAATACACCAAAGATGACTTTTTTAAAGCAGTCGCAAGCAAGATGGATATTATACTTCATAATGTGAGAATGAGCTGCTGTCTGGACTAAAAGTTTAGTTTTACTTCCGTCGGTCTGTTAGAAAGACTTCATGTCCAAATGATCCACTGGAAGACCTCCAAAGAATTAATTACTAACGCCTTTGTTATGCATCTTGAGCACTTGGCAATTAATAAAGCTGATTGACGAAAACGGGACGGAGATGGGGAATACACCCAAAAAAAAGAAAAGAAAAATGGCCATCATTTTAGTGATCAACACAGGCTACTTGTTAATAATTAATGAGTAGACAAGAAAAATGAAAGTTTGACGAAGTCAAAAACTCGAACGCACAATATATAATAATTATCACTATAATCGTAATTTATAACGCAATTGTATACGTACACATGTTTATGTAGAGGGACATTAATATATATATAAATAGAATATATATATAAACCTTCAAAGTGCCACTGCAACGGCAAGGCGTATCAAATCTGGAGACGCAGTCCTCGTCGTGACAGAAACGACATTCCGCTCTTGGCCCGCCGCCGCCTCCTCCTTCCTGCGGTTTCTGGACCTTGTCCTTATCATTGCCTGCGGCGGCAGAGCTCTTGGACCCATCAGCCTCCATGGCTGCACTCATTATCTCATCCATCAGAATCGCAATGTGGCTTGGGCCAGACGAACGAGATGCCAGATCGGTTGGGTTGGTCAGAAGCTTTTCAGGACGGATAGTGATGTAATCTTCCATGTCGATCTTTCCTCAGGCATGAAAAGCATGTTTATAAAGTTAAGGTATTCGTTAAACAGAAAGAAGAATCTCTTTATATAGATATGGATCGGATATGGATATCTTTGTTGAGAACGTTGCAAAGGTCCTAATAATGGTGCCTTCACGTCATCTGATCAAACTAACACACACTGAAAAGCCAAGCGTACACCGCTTCACAAGTTTAAGTTGAAAAGGACAAAGTTTCTATTACACACACACACAAACTTTTTCAAAAACCCCTATTTCAGACATGCGCAAGTCATCATGAACCGCATTTAGTTAAACTCATCGTGCAAAACAGAGTATATGTGTAAGAAGGAGGAAGAAAGATAAAACTCTCTTATAATAAATCTCTCCGGCATGCAAATAGACGTGAATGACCTTCTCTAGCCATATGTTTTATGTTTGGTGTGTGGGGAAGGAAAAATTTTAATCAACTCGATTTAAAAAAATTTTAAAAATTAAGATTATAAATTTTAATAAAAATATAAAATAAAGAATAAGAAAAATTAATCAAAAAGTTTTTAACTTCACTTCTTCAATTTTTTAAATTGAGGTTATTAAAATTTTTTCCTCCTCTTTTCTCATACCAAATGTATCTTAAAACATTCACACCACTTCATGAATAAAGGGAAGAAATTAAACAAATTAAGCGTCAGAACCAGTTCATGTTTGGCCAAAAAAAAAAAACCCAGTTCATATATATCTCCACACAAGCTAAGCTTCGAAATGTAAGAAATGAAAAAAGAAAATTAATAACAGAGGATGAAGGAAAATATTCTGCGAGGCCCCGAAGAAAAAAAGTTAAGCAAGTGCAGCAGTTATCTGCTTTATATATCGAAATCAGCTGCCTAGAGGCTGAAGACTCGTAGCCAGATATGGCCTAGCCACCAAACCACGAGAGAATATGAACAATCAAATTTGAGTACCGGATAAATATAGAAACTAAAAGACTGAGAGAAAGAGAGAAGGAAAAAGAAGGAAAAATATGAAAACTAATATATAGTACTCCAAGCTGTTGTTCTCTCACCCTAATTTTCTCTGGCTTCCAGAAATGAGAACTTCAGTGCAGAGGAAACGCAGGCGAGTGACCAGTACTTATCCAAGAGGTGAGAAGAGTCGAAAATGTTAAAGGGGAGATAAAACTAAAGGCTTCCTGAACCTGTTAGGTTCAGAGTTTCCATATGGCATGATGAACTATGCGGCTGCGGGACGCGTAACAAAACCTTTCTGC